TCGATACGGATCTCCGAGACTAGAGCTATCGCTTCAAGGACTCATTCGTTTATGAAAAATCAATTTTCCAAAAGAAATCCCGCTCTCGGTACGCAATATAATAATATAAACGTCGCAGTTCGGCAGCTTTCATTTCTATATCCAGGAAAAGAAAAAAATTTTTTCCCAATGAAGCTTCGAGTTTTTATTTAAAATAAAAAAAAAGTGAAAAGAGGAGCAATCAGTTCAAGAAACTTTCGAGTGACTACTTTTATCTTTTAGTCCGTGCATGTGTATGTAGTGTACGAAGTGAATGTATACATACCCGAGGGTCTAGAGACAATAGATATACGCGGTCGATCCAACCTAACTCTACTTGAGAGCATTGCTTGTGCGACTACTTGGAGAGAAATTTGATGTTCATATGGGACTAACCTTGGGATATTTATTCTGTAAAATTAAATTTTATCTTTTTTTACTTTTATTTGAGTAAATATTGTATTTTGAAAAGCAGAGTAAAAATGTCAACTCTTGTAACTGTAAAATGCAATTTCATCAAAAGTTAGTATCCTCATATAAGGACAATTGTCATATCACGTGAAATTAAATTCCTATTGTATTGAACGAAACGTGCACTATTTTCGAGGGTCTATTTTAATTTTCATTTAAATGCAATGCCATCGAAAACGTCTGCCAGGTCGCTTTATAATTTTTCTTCATATCTCTCTTCAGAGAGACAAAATAACCGTAATACCCAAAGTTCCAGTCATGTGAATATAGAAAAGTATATTTCAGGAGGGTGCACGAATCGATAATCTGAAATCAGTTGGAGTACGTGCAGACTATGTAAATCGAATACCAATATTGCCGCTACTATTTTTCGTATATATATTCATACGTACCCTCGACATATAGCTTAAGAGTTGAATTAATGCAGGAAACGAATTATGAAAATCGAGCGGATTTTGTTGAATTTTAAAGCTGGAATATTTTTGTAATGTTATTTCAGATTCTTTTCACGTAAACATCGAGCATAAATAAAAATTTTCGAAAAATAGCTTGTAATTTTCGAGCTTGCAATCAATGATCCGTTTATTTCCTTATTTTTTTCGTTTTTTATTTTGAAAAATTTCTACTACTCGCGCACATCGCGTGTAAATTTCAGCCATAAATTTAAAGGGCGGAAAAACGGAAAAAGCCCAACGTGTTTTACATCATATGTGGCGCTGTGATAAATTAAAAATTTCCTACTCGTAAGTTGGCTCCTCTACGTACATATAATACAGCGCAAAAGTTCATGCAAAGCAGCGGTGCGTAGAATATTATATGCGCTGGCTGTATTCGACGTGCAGAACCGCAGTGCAGAAAAGATTCACAGCGTCGTCGTCGTCGTCGTCGTCGTCGTCGCTCGCACGTGTACCATCTGTATATCTGTATGCATGCGGTACAAAAAACGCGAGATTATGAAGAATTTAGCGCGAAAAAGAGAGGAACAAAAGTAAGAAAGAGGGTAAAAAAGAAAATGGGAGAACGATGAAAGGGGGGAAAAAAGAACAAATCGAAATAAAGTCCCTGTAGGGCGCTGTGTGACATATATTATATAGATGTAACAGAAACAGAACTCCTCCGCTGTGTCTATATAATAAACTGCTGTTTCTGCTACTGCTGCTGCGCTATACTGTTATACTGCTGTTACTGCTCCCGCGGTCGAAATAGTCTCGCGAGAAAAAGCTTACTTTTAGCACAAAGCAAATTGTACTTACTTTGAACGAACGGGCCAAGTGTTGGGGATTTTAATATTGCCGGCTGGTCGAGCTGGACTCTTTTTATGCGGACTTTCCAACCTACTTATATTGCCATGCGGATCGGTTAACTTCTATGGCATTTTTGGTACTGACCAATGTGAATATGGACGCCGTAAAAAGGAGCACTCGAGTGTCAAGTACCAACGATTACGCTACAACAAGAGAAAAACAATTTTTCGCTCGTCGTCCGTACGAAAACTAATGTTTATATTTTTTTTCTCACGCGTTGATGCGCGATCATCCAATATATATACTACGCCGACCTATAGATCAAACGCATAAGTATCGGTGGATGAGATTTCAAGCGTATCTTTTGCCGCGCGCAAAAAAGTTAGTGCCGTGCAAAACCGCGAGGAAAATGAAACGAAGTCTTCCTCAGCTCGCGAGCTTCCTCGACGTCGTATAACGAATATATCTTTTACGACGTAATAAAACTACTTTTTTCGCAAACAGTTTATTTTATCGTAAATCGATCTTTCTACGCTGACTTTTTTTTTGCTCGTTGATCGGCGTGTTTCCTTGAATCGAGAAAGAGTCTCGCGACACATAAGGATCGAGACTGAATCAGTGCGAGACGTTTTTAAAGAGTGCGAGTGTAAATAAAAGGCTTTCTTCAAAGTGTAAAGCTTGTATAATACTCGCGTTTGTCGGAGGAAAATAATTGGACTTTCGAGCGAATAAAAAATTTGAGCTTTTGGGTCTTTTTTACATTTGCGGAAGCAGTGAATTTATCGGGAAATTAAAGCGCTTTGCGCTCGTTTTGCAAAACCGCGAATAAACCGAGTAAAAGCAAAAAATTCGCACGTATGAGTAGTAGCGGTGAGGAAAAAAAAATTAACTACGAAATTCTTGAGTAGCGGTCGAAATAACGTTGCTCAATTAAGTTGACCACACTGCACAAAGTTGTTAAAGTACCGAAAAAAATACCTACGAATGCACCCACCCCAAGTTGGGCATAGATGTAAATTTAAGCCAGCGAGAGAGAGATATATAGTTTTAGCTTTTTTTTGCTGCGAGCCCGCGTAATATCTGTCGCCGAAATATGGGACACGTTTAATAGAGCGCATGCTTGGGTGTATATTCGTTAAACAAAAACGAGTCGAGCGCACATTTGTACTGCCTGAGTATGTACGTACATATACACACGCACCGCATACAACGATAGACGCGCGCAGGGGTGATTCCATCAGACGGAAAATAATTGCTCGATGAAGCGCGTCATTAATGTGTACGCGCTGCGTAGGTTACCTTGCTTAAATGTTCGAGAGCGGTACGCGCGGAGTGTCTCTCCTGCCAGCGACGAACAATGCGCTGTACATTGACACAAGCCACCTACATTACAATATACGTATACGCTGCTCCGAGCGTCATAATATAGGCTCGGATACGTTGCGATAATGATTCCGTTTAATGAATTAATTTACAGAATTTATCCATCCTGCGCGTAGTATACGCGATCGCGTCAAAGCAACGTAACTTTGTAATTTCAGCCAGGAACTTTTATTGCGAGAATATGACGAAAAAAAAAACGAGAGAAACAATTTTCTGCACCTTTTTCCCTTTGACAAATATTTTAATTAAATGTTCAAATTTCTCTCGTTCACTTGGCGCTATTTCCTTTTTCTTTATTACGAAAAAAGTATTGAAAAAGACTTCTTCAAATTCAAACTTTCGACAATCGTTCGAAAATGTATTGTTGCCGCGCCATTCATTGAAATATAAACTTTTATACAGGTTAAGGCTTGTGCGCGGTGCGTATTATTCTCCCGAGTCCCGTGTGCTACTTGTTAGTTGTTGTATACACGGTACCTATAGGCTCGCACACGCATACCTATACACACAAACTTAGCATGTGATAAAACTCGTTAGCCCTATTATCAGCGGCGAGCATTGGAAATGTCTATTTAATTACATTTAAAATATCTAACGCGCATTGATTTTTGTTGCTTCAATTAACACCATTGAAATGTCCGAACAAAATATCAACAATGAGCTTGCAGGGAAACAATAAAGCTCTCCGCGTGCTCATGCATATATACACACCGTAGCCTGTGTGTATATGCGCACGTGTGTGCGCCGTATATGCAGCATATGTATAATGCGGCCGTGTATGCATGCAGTATTGAAACAAATGTGCTCATGAATCTGCATTATATTGCCAAGTCACGTTGTATAGATATACGAAGCGGTATTACGTAGTCGGCGTAGTGGACGTGCTGCACCTGACCTATGTCTAATATGTACACATTCGTAAGTAAATAAGCCAAATAAAATTACAATCAGCAGTCAGCTGGTACAATGAAAAACACACGAGTCCTGTGCAGGCCAGGAGTTTGTTGCTCGCCTCGTCTTTCTCTCTCTCTCTCTCTCGCTCTCTCCGGAACACTGCACCCCCACATGCTCCTATTGTATCGATCGTCGGGCCGTGTAAGCCAACGTGTGCGCGCAGACATGCCACACACACACACTCATACACACGCGGTCCTTCCTTTCTTTTTTTTTTCTTTTTTTTCCTTGCCTCGCGTATATATGCTCGAGGGTCACGCGAGCTTACGCGATAATAATGACGATGCGCGTTATCTGTACGCGACACGCATATTAAGGAACGAACAACTATACTTTGATCCACGAGATGTTTTTTTTCCTGCAAGTAATGCACCTGAATAATCAACAGTTCTCGATTTTTCTGACATGCAAGCTCTCTTTTCAACTTTATACATTACATACTTGTTCGGTGCGCGCTCTTTCCAAAGCGCTTCTTTCATAACTTATCGGATAATCATGTGTAAATTAGTGGCTCATCGTTTATGTCATGCCCTGAAAACATTTCGAATCCAAAGCTGTCGAAAGGTATCTTGTGCCTAATTGATTTATCGCGAGTCTTGATGCGAATTACATAATACAGTCTACGAGGATTTTATTAGCCTCGTGCGTAGGATTGGAGCAATACGAGCTTGCGACACGCATACATGTTATGGGCTCGGAAATATTATATCCTGGTTGGCAGAATACGAGGGTAAATGTATTGCGTGTGTACATTTTCTAGTTCGATGCTTATACGCATATGTATAGCGCCAACAGTTCAAAGCTCATATTCATTAATTGTTACATCGATTTGTTATATATACGAGCATTGGCCTCACATCATATTATTTGCAGTCTGTATAAAAAATACTTCTTTTCTGTAGGAAAGGGTTATTTATATTTTTAACTTACAGCTTCGCTTTGCTCGTAATACTGTTGAGAGTAAGCCGACTTACCTGTAACATAAAAATTAAAAAAGAAATGAGAAATTTGGTTGATGCACAATGAAATAATAAGATTCATTTTCAACGTTTATAATGGCCTAATAACCAAAAAATAAACATTTCAAATGTTTATAATACATTACCATTGATTGTCTTACTTTTGGTGATTTTCTGTTACTCTCATGTTTAAAATATGAAATGATTCTAAAATGACTTTTTAACAAATTCGGACTAGTTTTCAACTACGTTAAAAATAATAACATACGAACTTTGAGCCACCGCCTCTAGATGGCGAGTATCTTTATTACTAAATCTGCAAGCGGTAAAGAAAAACTAATTGTATATCAATCATGATCAATTTCGAGCTTACATTCAGTTACGGATAAGAGTTTACATTTAGTTAAGGATTTAATATTTATCTGTAGTTTAAACGAAAAAATCATCAACTTGTCGAATTTCTCTGAAACGTACAAATGATTGCAAAACCTTGAAAAATTTTGATGCGCGTGTACGTCAACGCGAAGCAAAAGAAATCCAGTATAATCTGTCATACACACGCGGATATGTACGAGGTCGAGAATGAAAAAGTGTGTCGGTACAAATCAATATGCAAAGCGCTAAAGTCAAGGGATTTGCATGGGTATTTCATCCTTGTTTGCTTCTTTCTTTAACTTCATTGCATGTAAATTGAGATTTCACACTCCTCCAAGGGTCTAATTAAGTGTGACTCATAATTTATATTTTTCGTTATTTTCAAGTTTACTTGTAAGAATAAAGAAACTATCAAAAGTTTTCAAATCTTACACAGTTTAATACTGTTTTGTTCTATAAATGGAGAATAGATTCTCCATTTATTAAAAGCAAGTATTACAGTTCTCTCCATTTGAAAAACAGTGATAAATTTCTAAATAATAATCTTTAAATGATGAATGCTGACACCACGTTTGAAACGGGTATCTTTTAGATATCATTAATACAATTCACATGACGCACGTTACGTGCGAGTATTATTCAAAAAGTCCGATATTCAGAACATTCGATAAACCTACTCGAGAAAGCTTTGATTAGTTTAGAGGCAGAATTTCAAGCATAAAAGGATAGATAGCACTTGGAAACGCGGCAACGTAGAGCGCGACCTAAGATCAGAGACAAACGATACGCCGACTGGATTAAACTTAGACCCGCATTTATGCTTTTATCTTATGAGATAAGCTTCATACAATTGACCCTTTACCTGATTTCCAACCAAATAGCTTTTTGGCCTCTCTTGATCTTGGAGAAAGATTTAATATTATTGTCTCTCAAGAGATAACTTGAAGAAATTCATTCGGACCTCGTACCAAATATTAGCTAAAAGTGAAATTTAGCTCTTGATCGAAACTACTTATCAAATATATTGTTGTATGGTCTTTTAATCGGAAGCTGAATCGCTACCCTCAAATTAATTCGGTACGCATAACATTTATAATGTTTTCTTTATTGACAAATTAAATTTGTGACAATAAAAAGACTATTAATAATTTGATTGTCAGACGCGAAAAAAGTAATTTCGAGTCCGATCGTCTCAAGGACCGCTAAAGGCCTTGTTCCTTTATTTCCTAAAAGCTATGGTTGAATCTTTTTTCTGCCAAGAGATGAGCGAGCTACCGATGGTTGCTATAGAGGTTACCCTGTATGCATACATATGAGTGAAATAAAAGATTCATTCGAGAGATTTTTTAAGACAATTCAGCTGACAAGACTGAAAAATAAAGATTCTAGAGATCAGAATTTTTCTTCGAATAAAAATATTTTTTTAAATTTATTTTTCATATGAAGGTTGATGAGAGGTATTTCAAAGGTATAAAAATATGACTGAGTATAATAATTTATATAATTTTTAATAATAATATATTTTTATTTTACGTGAAATCATTGACAATTTTGATATTTTATCATAAAATTGTATAATATTGAAAATGTAAAATTGATTAAACGTAAAATTGATTATTCATTAATCTAATCAGTTCATAATGACACGGATAGTTAGAAAAGTCAATTTTATTTCATTAAAAGGATATTTAAATCTCAATCAAATTGCCAGAAAATAATTGTTTGAATTATTTTGGTTTTCAATCAGTTTCTTTAAATTTATTTTAGTCCTATAATTTTTCAACTGACGTAAAGCGCGTAAAGTTTTGACTTCTGTGCGCATCAACTAGAGACAGACTAATTTCAACCGCAAAGAGAAAGCGCGAGTATCATCGTCAGCACGAGGAGTTTATAAAGTTCGTCAAACGCAGTAAATAAAATAAAATTGGTATTTTGCAAAGCAAAGATCTTAGCTGGGGGCAATGTCGAGCTGCGCTACAAGATTTTGCATAGAGAAAAGCCGCTGCAATGCTTTCGGCTGTACTTACGGCGTTTTTGTACCCTTCGTTTGGAGTAAACAAAGCGTTCATTCATACATATATATATAGCCTGAATACAACCGATACAAAAGCTTGGATGTACTTTTACCTCTTGCGGGTTTTCGTTTTTTTCTTTCCCCTTTTCCGTTCCACTCTGGGTTTTATTACGTACATCGAAGAAGCATATATAGATGTGTTTGTGTGTGGGCGTGCGTGCGAGCCTGCGTGCGTGCCAGCCTGCACCCGAGGTGCAGTCGTGCGTCGCAAGAGTCTCCTAAGTTATTCGGCTTTTTTCCTTTCTCTCTGTGCATACATATTGCTTATGCGATATAAACGTGGCATGCGCGGACTATGCACTATGCGTGCACAGTAAAATGGACCCTGGCACGTAATGCGTTTTTGGAAAATTGCGAATGGAAACCTCTTTGTGCTTGCTTGGTAGCTTTTGAGGATTACCCAGCAACATTTCGCTCTCCGGAATCCATTCTTTTATTTTCTCTTTTTTTCAACTTGAACGCAGATGCAATCTTTCACTTTTTTAATTTCTGGACTTTAAGTATAAGTGCTAATTGCATACGTTAGGAATTAATTTCAGGATGTTTAAGGATGTTTAAAAATGGCTTTAAGAAAATGATAGCAAGAAAAAAAACAAAGATCATGTAAACTCAAGCAAAAATGTTCGTCCAGGTTATGCAGGATATGTGCATAACTGATTGCGCTCAGTTCGTGTGCAGAAATGAGCGCATACAATTTATACATAATCTTCATATTGTTACGTTCTTTTTAATACTTTTCCAGCTTGATATGAAATTTTGAATGCTCATGAAATACAAAGTTTTGAATTCCCTTGTGATAAGTCCATTTTTACAATTGAATTCGCACAACAAAGAAATTTTCGTTTATAACGAAATTCTCTGTTCAAATGATGTCGAGAGAAAATGTTGATAGGGTTCTTGTTAACATAATACTGAAACAATATTAAACAAGCATACCTAATTAATTGTGCATAGTTTATATATGATTACGTACAGGGGGTGTGATAAAAATATAAATAGCAATTGGTTTTTTTTTAACGATTCGCCTTATTGTCAAATTAGTTTGAGTGACTTTCAGTAAATTTCCTCGAGTTTATACGTGGTGTTTTCTACTCTTCGGTATAAATTTCACCCGTAGTTGATCAAAATGAAAAATCGAAATTAACGCTCAAGAACAAGCGGCGAGGAATTTATCAAGTCACGCCTCGTACAGTTTCATGCGGATAGTTTAACGATAGCTGCTACTCTCTATTCTCGACTGTAGCATCACCTCTTAAAATTAATTATTACTCGAAGTTCGCGTGCAAAATTAGCTGGCTTCGCGAGGCATGCAGCAGCAAGACGAGCGCGCACGCATACACATTTATACGGGCGCTATATATACACGCGTTATATACACGTATATTTGTATACACGGCAAGTGTGAGGGCACTCGACAATCCACACCCTTTCCCAAAGGAGGTAGGTCGGAGATATAGAGTAAGGTACTCACTGGCTCGCAGAGGTCTAATGGACTTGTGCATGAATTCAGACGAGACCCGCTGGAATCCGTAATACTGCCCTTGCACACCCGAGCGTAAGCGGCAATTTCATGCATTTTAATTGACTCGCACAAGATATCGGAGGTTATCGTTTATTCCGATTTCTTGTGTATATACCGCAGCGTATACTAACTCGAATGCGGGCATACGACGACTTACATCGTTGCCGCGCAAAATAATTGAGTCCCGCGAGCGAGAGCGAGATTTTTTATTTTCATAATTAAAATGCGATCTCCTTGACCGCATTGTCGCTTATAAGATTGGAAAATTTCTCCCAAGCTCAATTGGATTTTACTAATTAACAGTATCCTTTCTGCGCGCTGCACTGATTCCATAGGCTTCGATTATACCGACTCTTTCGCAATAATCAGGCGTTGTTAATAGATTGGAGGCTTTGAAGATTTTCTTGATTATTTATTTTGCGATTTCCGTCGTATGAAATAATAGCTTGCTTATTTCCTTGATACATATAATATGACTTATTACCTAGATGTTTTTAACTTCACGGAGGAAAGCTAATATTAGACCGAACAATATTGATTTTCGTCTTGACCCACAAGCTTATTCCTCTCACTCTCTTTCTCTTTCTGATGAGTTTTCTCAAGTTCATCTATAAAAGACTTATAACCTTGCATATTTCGTAATTAAAACGCACCTTACATATTTCAATACTTCAGAAATATTACTTTTAAAATTATAATATTTTGCGGGGAAAAGATAAGCCGTATATTTTCCAGTAAATATTGAGACTCACGTTTCTACGGTGAATGCATTTGATGCGCATAATTCAATGTAAGGTACATTTTGATGACACTGATTACTTTCTACACATTCTACTTAAGCTTTAAAAAAGTCTATACAGAAAGATGCGAATAGTTAATAAAAAATTGCAAATCTAAAAATATTAAGAATACTTGTAATATAATGAAAATGATAATATTCTGTGTCGACACCCAATATTTATGGTAAAATTGAAAAAAAAGTTATTTCATTTTCAGAAATAATTTAATATTTTTCAAAAATTCTTTTCACCTATCGTAACATTT